TGTGTGTGTGTGTGTGTGTGTGTGTGTGTGTGTGTGTGTGTGTGTGTAGTCAAAGTGTATACATACCTGCCTACCTCCTGGGTAGGTCCTGCTTACCATCAAATTCTTTAGGAAACTTTAATAACAGGAGTTCTTAATAGAAGTCCATAGGCTTTATCAAATTTTTTTGTAATTTGAATAATTGTGATTTATGTCTCTGTTTAAATCTCATTGCTAAGGCAAAACGGTGTGGCTTGTGGCAACAGTAATCTAAGGAAGGAAGGCCCACTGATCCCATCACAACAAACCCAACCCAAATGCAAGAGTCCAGAACTGTCAAACGTCACTAGAAGCTAATGCACTGCTGGCATCTTCTCAAGCAATACTCAATTACATGAGAAGCGTCACTCCACACCCTGCCTAGCTGTTCTACTAAGGGTGGAATTTTAATGACTACACATGTGCAAGTCCACAGCCCACACGTAAAGGTCAGAAGGCAGAATGTGTTGGCTTCTACCTGCCATTCGGATCCCAAGGACCAAACTCAGCCCATCGAGCTTTACCTTTACCACTGAACCATCTCTCCAGGCAAAAAAGTTACCATTTAATGACTGCCCACAATAGTCAGACTTTGAATCTTGTAAGAAATTAAATGAATTCCCTCAGTTCCTTACAACAACCTTATACGACAAGTGCACAAATTCTATTTTACCAATGGGAGAGAACAATGACTCAGAAATATTTTGCAACTGGCCTGATATTTTACGTCAGTAAGTGTCAGGCTTCAAAGGCAGCCTCTTCCTCCATGCATGCATGCCTCAGTAACAGACACGCACAGCTGGCTGGAGCCCTATGAAGATCCCAATTTTGTTTTAAAGACAACTTTTCTACCACCACAAGGAAACTACAGGCACTGAGGATGTGGCTTCAAAAACACCATTCTTCACTGGGCCCCAGTGGAAGGACCAATAATTCCCGGTTCTTGGGAGGCTAAGACATGATATTGGGTCTGGCGCCAGCGTAGACTACAGAGTGAGTTCCAACTTAGCTAGACCAGGTGTTTCAGAGCTACAGGTAAAAAGAGGCTGGCACACTCGGACAAGTAGTAGAGCACTTGCCTGGCATACACAGGTCCTGGCTTAACCCACAAAGCAAACCCACCCAGGAGCCTAAGTATAAATCAAGCAGTATAAATTTTCATGTTGAGGAAGAAACATTGGCTTGATTAGTTGGATCACTCAGTAGGATCTCCATTAAATGTATCCAATCAAAGATAAAAGGATAAGAAATTCCAGGTTTTTTTTAAAAGCGAATTTTTAAAAGTGTCCTATGATACATGCAGTAGTCTGACAAAAGGCTCAGCAGAAGGAGCCATCTTCTCCCCCACGACTTCGTTAACACTTCTCCCAGACTGGAATGCAGAAAACTTCAGCAGACTGCAGCCACAGCCTGTGTAAAGTGTTTTTTGCTTCTCACCCTGTCATGACAAACAAGGGAACTGCCAGTCTGCTTCCAAACACCTCATCTCCATTTTCTTTTCCCTTGCAGCTGAGCAGTGAAGTTTCTTTGCCGGTAGGTGCCACAAACAGTATATATTTCACCCTGAAAATTCCCCACTTTGAGAATTATCGAAAAGAAACAATTTTTACTTTTATAAAACTGCAAATTCTGCAGTAAGTAAGAGGTTATGAATCACTACGTCAGTCTACCATGACAATAAACTTTCCATACAAACAATATGTCTCTCAGGTGCTTTTCCAACTACTGGCTGTAGCCTATGAATCAATTTAATGGGTTGCAACCAACACGTTGAAATTTAAAAAGAAGAAAAAGAATAAAAAGTAAATGTAAGGCATTAGCCTATCCCACAAAGTAAGCACAAATTCACAGAAAAGGCTTTGGGCATGGGGGCGGGGGAGTGGTTAATGGATGGGGACTGAAATTAAACAGAAAGCAAGGGCCCTGTTGCAAGCAGCACAATATTCAAACTCCTGAATAACAATGACTTTCTAGTCTCTGGAAAGCAAAGGTCACAAACAGGATGAAATATACTTTTATATGCTGAATAAAATTTCACAAGGGACACCAAGCAGTTATGAATATGGTTTTCAAGACATTTCTCTACCTCTGAGGGTAAGGTTTGTTACTAGTGAGTTCTGTCTGTTTCTGGACTCTCAGATGACTGCGGGCCTGACACAGGTGCTGCACTCCACCACACCCAACTCTCACTGTGATTTGATTGGCCCTCTCTAATGATTCATGGTGTCATTTCTGTCCGGAATCCCACTAGATTAACTTTTTTTTGAGTCTGGCTTCCTTTGTTTAATATTGTATCACTGAAATTCTAATGTATA